TCACCAGGTGACTTGGCAGACGTCGGTGTGAATATATTTTATAATTGCGTTTTAGTTTTTCAGACAGGAATCAAGTGTGTCAAGGCAGCCTATAAATACAACAAGAAAAGTGATTGAAAGGGAATTTAGCCCATTTAAGATGGGGACACTCACGGAGTTCGTTTTGATAGCAGGACAGCCTGGCACAAATTCGGGTTCATCGTCAGAGGATGAATCGTCAGAAATGATGGCCATGACGGGACGATAGGTCTTCTACAAAATCAAGCCAATTGGCTGAAAAGTACTAGACAAGAACCTACCTGATCGAAGGCACCTGTGCCATTCTCCTCCGGTTTCAAAGTTGGAGCTGCGCATGCTATTTCTAACAGCTGCAGGATTGAAAATAGAAACGAAGAGCGTTATCGACAGCTTTTCAAAATATGAACTCACGGATCGAGCAGAGTCTAATAAAGTTAGCACGCGTATAATGTAGACTGGCACAGGCTGCTGTACGCCAGCTGTGTATGGCGCTTGCACACGACCTGTGTAGTACTATTGGCCTTTGTGCCCAATACCTCAGTCAGTCGGCATGATCGGCATAAGCCACTGATGGGGTAGGAGTAAGGTCAACGAGTGAGGATTTTCATCGTCTGTGCTGACTCCAACAGGTTTGAGTCGTATTACAATACGCCCAGACATCTGACTTGGAACATGCAAAGAAGGAGCAAAGGCGCAGTCGTTGGAACAGGAAGTTTATTCGTTCGGTTTTTCGGATTCACAGTCGGACCCATCGCCAGAGACAGCAACAGTAGTGCACGCAGTGGGATGCAGTATTTAGAGGCTGGGTGTGCTATTCAATCACACACGCCTATCACAACTAGCCACTACCGCATTTACTGCCGATAGCCTCAAAGCAATGAATGTCTGATCGTCGACATTCCAACTGTCACAACTGCCCAAATTTTATCATCAGTGATGTGGCAATCTGGCTCAGAGACAATTAGGGAAGCAGTGTCTGACCGCACGCACTCCTTGCGGTGCTGATTACTCTGCACGGGCAAAGTGTTGGGAATGCGCTCATTCCCACCATCACTCATCTTAAAGAAAGGTCCCTGAGTGCAACTCTACGTCACTGCCGCTGACGCCTGCTCATGGAGCCGACTGAATAAATACCCCGCAGCTTTTTTGTAAGAGAAACTTGCACTTTCTTGCCTTGACGTGTCATGTATGAATTCACTTCTCCTCCTGGCCGACTGATTTCCCCTGTTCTCTCATGCGGGCGTTCGTGGTAATAACAAGTACCAGGC